TACAGTTTTTTTCTCTTTCTGTTAGTTTCCACAAATTGAAAATCCATCGTTGCTTTTGAAACAAAACCATGCTGACTAGGTCAAGAATTCTATTGTTCACATTTAATACCTTATTATATTGATTCAAGCTGAAGAAGTTCAAAAAAGAAAGATAACTTTTAAAAGTGGAGGAATGAGCATGCTGCTGTCCCGACATGTTCTGACCAATATACATAATCAGGAATATTAAAGTCTCCCAATATCAGAATTGACGACCCATATAGTTCATGAATGGATATTAAAAAGTCAAAGAATAAGTCATATTCATTGGATTTAGTAGATGGAGGTATATATATTAAACAGATAATAATATACCGAAACCTCACAAAAATTTTTACAAATAATACATCAATGTGCTGTATATTCTCATCCATATGATACACCTCACAAATATTTACTTAACAGCTTTTACATTTTTTTTTGACTGCTAATAGTACCCCTCCACCTCTCTTAATTTGCCTAATAGAGTGATCACGATCAGATTTAAAAACCTTATATCTATTGACGTCTAATATTTCACTGTTTACTACATCCTCATTCAGCCAGGTCTCCGTGATAGTAATGACATCATAGTTCAGTATCTGAAAATAATAGGATATTAATATTACTCAATTTAGTATTGATTCCTCTTACATTTTGGTAATAAAAATAAATGGATTTATCAAAATTCACAGTTTGTGAGGATGAACTATCTTTTGAAGGGCTTGTTTGTGATACTTGCTATTCCGAAAAAATATCATTTTTGAGCTTTTGAAGTGCTGATTTATACATAGGACAATTATAGTCCCAGACAGCATGATTAGTATTTAGTGCCACTAGCTCTTTCTCTGACTGACGTACATAGTTGACACACTTCAAAATTTCTGCTTTACAGTCCCTAATACTATGCTCCAAATTACATTTTGGGCATGACATTTTTTCTTTACAGCTGCGTGAAGTATGGCCATAGCTATTGCAATTGAAGCACCGAGCAATTTCCATGCCATCATAAACATTGCAAAAATTATACCCAACAAATACACTACCAGCCGCCAATAGTCTATCGTACGATTTTATGTCAACTTGTACAAGTGCCTGAAACACAGTTTCTTTTTTCTTAGTTGACCAAAATTTCAATATTTTACATTCGGAGTTGGAGTGAAACTTGAGTTGTTTCCTTTTTTGATTCGATCCGTTAATTCCAAAAATTCGTCCTCTTGATACATTTCCTGAAATCCGACAATCTTTACCTGCGGACACAAGCCTTTAGCCTCACATATATTATAGGAGTCAGCAAGTTTCGTTTCAGCTATTTGTTTGAATCTGTATGTCTGTTCCGTTGACAAGCAACCAACTAACATACCACCATTTTTAGTAGTAATTACCTTCGATATCTGCAGATCATCGATGGCTGGATCAATATTTGATTCGATGTCAGTTTTGGTTTTAACAGAGTTTTGTACATTCTTAGGCTCTATGATTATAACCGGTTTAGTTTTATTTTTAACAGCATCAGCAAAGCGAGTTACTGGTTTAAATTCATTTTCTTTAACACTGGTTTCTATTGCTTTAATAAGATCCACCTTTAACTCAGAAAAGACATCCTTTAGGCTTCCTACCATATCATCAAATTTTTTAGCTAAGAATGTATTTATTGAATCCAAATCAAGACAGAATCATTTTTGTACGCAATCTGAACATTTCCAACTTAAACCCGATATGATAGACTGGACTCAAACATTTAAGGCGTTTATAGCTTCACACCAATTTGACTCCCATTATAATTCAATAGGCCGTCACAGCCGGATGTCTTAAACCCGCTCACCGATACCTACCTGAAAAGACCTTTTCTGGTAAAAGCACAGGGCAGGACTGAGTTTTGCATTTACCGACAACTGCGCCTTTCGATTTTTTTTATTTTAGGTAAAAACAAAGTAACTTTTGTCCGTTATTTAAGTGTATTAAAAGTATGTTTGAGACGTTGTCCTGTTACTTTGAGTTTGCATTGAAAGCATTTAAAACGGTACACGTGTGTCAATATGTCGAAGATAACTCAAATTAATTTATAGATTAAATCTTTTCCTGAATTTATACTTCAAGAAGGCACGGTGTTTTGTAGCGTCTGCTACAAACCGCATTTCTATTTACAAATATATGTTTTCGGATCACCGGCAAAATTTTTTGCTACAATATTTCGAAAAGTATTTAAAAATAAATTGTTACAAAAGTACTAATTAAATGGCCTATTCTTATTATTTTTTATTTATTTGTCACTATTTAGTGTAAGACAATAGGCCCAATTCTGAATCAAACCTGTTAAAATTTAAAGGTTGTTAAAAAATAAACAGCCAATCAGATTTACGAATTTAACCCGTTACTATGGAAATTTGCAATTTAACACCCTTTAAATTTAACAACTTTGATTCAGAATTGCCCCTCTTAACTTTTAAAAAATTTATTTATCTATGTATTTTTTATTAAAAAAATTAAACTCGATAAACCTGTTTTTATAATTTGTAAATAAATTTAGTTGTGCATATCTCTGCATATAGAGTTCCCTCAAACAGTTAAGGCGTTTATGGCTTTGACGTTTAAAGTACTTTACAGCCGACTTTTCATAAAACTTAGTAAACGTAAACCATGCCACGTGCCAGGGACGGCCGAGACGCGAAGGACCGGACTAAGAGTAATTTTGTTTTTAACGTTTCTTCCGTACCTTAATTATTTAATCATTATTCTGCACATTTGAAAATATTATTAAGATACTGAAAGCAAAAAACATAAAATCTTTAATAAGTACGATCACGATCGCAATCATAGAAAACTGGTCCACCAAGTTTTTTGATAAATCAAATAATTTTGACGATGTCACCGTCCTTTTTTTCAAATCCAGAGGGTACATTCATATTGCTGTTATATTACTCTTAGTCCGGTCCTTCGCGTCTCGGCCGTCCCTGGCACGTGGCATGGTTTACATTTACTAAGTTTTATGAAGGGTCGGCTGTAAAGTACTTTAAACGTCAAAGCCATAAACGCCTTAAATGTTTGAGTCCAGTCTATCTAACTAATTTTGTAAACTCTGAGGTACATCTACACACTTATAATGGAACTGTTTATTGCAAGTACCTGAACACGTTAAATAGACAGGTGAGGTGCGGGTTTTAATTACCCCTAGACACTTCCCACACACAGACAGCATTATGTTAAATTAAGACAGACTGATCTATGTAAATATTCATAAATTTAAGTACTCAAATAAAAAAGCACACTATTTAAGGGTCACCAAACTAAAATATGATGAGTCTGTAGTTGTGATTTATCATTCCATTCATATTTTTTTGGATTTGCATATACAGGGTGACTCAAAAAAATTAATTAATGTGCGAATTTATTTCATTGATTTAATTAGGAACTACAAAACCGAATGCTTTGAAATCTTGGACATGTTTTAAAGTTATCATAGGCATGGTAAACTTTTAGTCAAAATGTATTTGCTCATCCCCCTCTAAAAAAATTTATGACGTCACCTCAAGATTTTGCTGAATAAATCCTATCTTAAATGTGCAAAATATGATGAGTCTGTAGTTGTGATTTATCATTCCATTCATATTTTTTGGATTTGCATATACAGGGTGACTCAAAAAAATTAATGAATGTGTGAATTTATTTCATTGATTTAATCAGGAACTACAAAACCGAATGCTTTGAAATCTTGGAGATGTTTTAAATTTATCATAAGCATGGTAAAATTTTGATCAAAATGTATTTGCTCATTCCTCCTAAAAATTTGATGACGCCACCGCAAAATTTTGCTGAAAAAATGCCTAAATGTGTAAAGAATGATGAGTCTACACTTGTGATTTATCACTGCATTAATATTTTTAGATATGCTTATACAGGGTGTCTGAAAAAAATTAATGACTGAGTCATTTAATTTTATTGATTAAATCAAGAATTACAAAAATGTAATACGAAAAAAGACATAATAGGCTTGCAGTCGTCACGTTCCCGACAGCGAGGGAAGTAGTGTCTAAACTCTTTAGACCAATTTTTACTTTCTAAATTACCATTTTATGTGCCACGTTTAACATCAAGATATGAAGCAAGTTTTCAGTTGCCAACGGCGAGAACAAATGTTTTACAACGTTCACCGATTCATGTCACGTGCAACGCTGTAGATAATGTATAGATGATATATTTTGTTAGGGTCACTTATAAGTTTGTTGTGTATTTTGATTTTTTTAGTGTTAATATTATTTATTTAACTTTACTTTGTTAAGCACACTGTATATTGTTATTAATATTGTCCTATAAGTGGTAAATTCTGTTGGACAATAAAGAACATATTATTATTATTAAAACTGTTTCCAACTTGGCAAAATTTACAACACTATACTCGTAAAAGATGTTGTATTTAATGTAACGTACAAACAATAATTGTAATATAATAAATGTAGGAAAAAATTCTTACCTGGAGTTATACGTAGGTATAATTTCAATACTATCTGCTTAATACAAAGCTAAGGAAACATTTTTGAAATAGCTTTCCACCATCACTCCGGAAACCACTGAGAAACGAACAATAGCAAATGAAAGTCTGTGCACTTTCAGAGGTAATGTAAACAGTAAGTTTTTAAACCACCAATAATTAATGATACACAATTCCTTGGGTATCTGGGCGTCTACAGCAGGCAATATTATTCAGAAAAACAGACATTTATTTTGGCCACGTATTTTCTATTTCGTTCCAATTTTTTTTATACGTAATTTTCATAGAGTAGTTAGCTTGCAAAAAGTTGCCAATTGTGGTTAGATTTCAGCAACATACATCCTTGTGACCAGTGCGTATTCTTGCAACCCCACTTTCGCCTATTCTATTACCGTAATGGATTTGGCGCTACATAAAAATAACAAGAATTGATAGGCACCCCCTTGACAGGTATAAGTTGGAAAAAATAATGGCGGCATAAAACACAATTTACCTCATTATCTTTATCGGCATCTCTGATATGTTGCGCAATAAACCTAACACCCTGCAGAGCCGAAAGGACATTAGCTGACAGAGTCCTCGGAGTTATATTTGACGAAGCAGTCACTAAAACAAAAACGTTAGTATTCGCAATATCCATTTTCCACTTTCTCACTCGAAGAATGTGCCTTCATCTTTCCATCATCATCCGTATTGTGTAAAATAAAGCTCGGTTCTCTTGTGGTTATTTTGAAGTCGGTGTTAAAGGGCTCACGCATATTCAAGCTAAAAATTGGCATATAAGAAAATATGGAATATGCGGTTCCCTATCTTACTGCATTTCTATTTCGTTGCTGTACCCTCGGGGCGGAAGGGTATCATCGTATTCAGGTAGGGTGTAAGTTGATCTACGCATAATCAAAAGCTTTGGCATGAACTGGAGGAAGATTTTTCGTACGACGGGTGACATTTTATGAGTAGAGGGAGATCTGTAGATAGCGAGACCTCATTAATGAGCGAAAATTATGCTTGAATAATTTAAGTAAAAACAGTTTACTGAAAATTGAATTGAACCAGTTGGGCAATATATCTCTTATTAATTGTTTTAGAGTGAAGAACTTGCGTCATAATTTATTTTGATAATTCTGCTAAGATGAGTTCATTTACCATTTAAATCTATTACTACGGTCGCACATGCGTATTTAACAAGTTTGAGCGCATTGACGAAAAATTAGGCGAATCGAAGAAAATTAGAACATTCTTGGGTTCATAAACAAAAACAAATTTGGTGGTCTCCTTTAAAAGATAAACCTCTATCAGCCCTGAACTCCTGCAGCACAGTCAAATAATCTCGGATAATTTATAAATGTTGGGTCTGTATTATTATTGCTTCCCGAGTATGAAAAAAATAGATCTCCCGTTTACGTCTGTCTGTTTGTATGTCTTCTGTGTCGATTTTTATTAGACAGACCATTTCCTTGGAAAAATGTATCCAATCATTTATATTTTGCATGATGATCAATAAACATCGAATTTTAGCGATACTTTTGCGCTAGTGCGAATTATCGATTTTTTTTTTCAATTTTTTATTTACAAAAGGTAGGTTTTATTTTTGTAAGGTATTATTACATGTATAATTAAGGAAACTTTTGTCTTCTGACTTATACATACGATGATGACAACCTCCGCATCGTCTCATATTGAAGGCGAAACCTTTTAATGGTAGAGAGAGTTGCGATGCAGTTACATTTCTTTCAAAAACATACCCTCTTGGTCTTGCCACACAAAAATGTTCATATTGTGTCCATCCGTTTGATTTTTTTATGTTAACTGGAGTCAAACTATTTATTTCCACATCGTTTTTGCTCGCGCAGCTTTGGCCAAACTGACCGGAATGTACTTTTACTTTTCACTGTTTATTACTATGTGGAAAGGTCTCCTAGCAGGCCTGAACCAATTACTAGGAGACAATAAAGAATTGTAAAAAAACACCCTACGTTTTTATTTTAATTACCTACATTTTCAATATATATGCATAAGCTCTTATGTGTTGTAACTAGAGAGCGGATTTTATGAAATTTGCATATCCGTTATTTTTTGCATATAAGTCTTGATATCTAATATGTGAACGAATTATGCTAACTAAAAATGAATACAGCTATAAAAAAATTGCCTATTTGCATATATTTGCCTTCTGCTGCATATTTCACGTAACGGTTTCATATTTTGCATTTTTATCAATTTTTGTGCTAATTTGAAAAAAAAAAGATTGTCATTCTATCAGAATTTATCTAGAAAGACGAAATTTCATGAATCATATTGCAAATATTGTCCTGAGGTGCAAATAACTAGGAAAGGTTTGGGTTTTATGATGGTTTGGAGAAACCACTGGGTGTTAAGCCATGCTTCCAGGTAAATTCCGCCCTAATTACGTAGTGTATTAATGGTATGTTTTGTGGTGGTCGAAGGGACGTTATCCTACTATTTCTCATCGTGAATTTGCTTTGAAAGCATTTAAAGTGATACAGGTGTGTCAATAGGTCGAAGATAGCTCAAATTAATTTATGGATTAAACCTTTTCCTCAACTTATTCTTCAAGAAGGAACTGTGTTTTGCCGCGCCTGCTCTAAACCGTAAAGTATTTTTACAGCTGTAGACGTAATACGCAGTTTTTCTATTTACAAATACATATTGTCTTTGTCATTTCTATTGAAACGCCACCTGTTGATTTTGCTTCAAATTTAGCAATTGGTAACAGCTTTCGGTTGATTGACAACGGCTCTTAGTTAGAAAATTGTCTGAATATGAACGTTGCCAAATTTACCATTAACAAGTGGTGTTTCAATAGAAATGGCAAAGACTATACTTTAGAATCACCGGAAATACTTTTTCTTAGAATATTTCGAAAAATATTTAAAATTAAATAGTCGATTACTACTATTTTTTAATTTGTTCTGTTTATATTTATTTTTTAGTATAAGAATATTATCATTAACAATGTGATTTATGTGTTAGTGAGATGTAATTAAACACTTTGCAATGTGATTTATGTATTTTTTGCAATAAAACGTAAGCTCGGGAAACCTGTTTTTGTAATTTGTAAACAAATTTAGTGCGCTTATTATGCTTTTTTTTTATTTTTGGAGCATATGCAACTGCATATTTCTGCATATATTAAGAAAGTTACTGCATATTTGCATAAATTAAGTGCATATCATATGATCATATTTCCCAAAATTTTGCTGCATATTTTCCGCTCTCTAGTTGTAACATGCCCTAATGTCCATCATTGTAGAATAAAATATATCAACCTACTTTTCGACAGTCTCTGTAACATCTGGTCTGCAGGTGATCATTTCATGATATTTCTCCTTGTCTTTTGTTGTTTAAGTACAGAATTGCATCTTTAATTACGTTCCAGGAATCATATATTTACCATTGCCACTAGCCTTGCGCATTTAATCATGTTGTTTATTATCCCATGCAGGCACATAGGATATAAGCATATAGCCTTCTCGATAGTAGAGTTATTACCTAGAAACGTTCACATACTACATAGGGTGTCTCAGAAATAAGTACATTAATTTTAATCAGTTATAGAAGTTATCAAACTCAACAACTTTTTTTAATAGAGTTTTGTCAGGAACTTTTTAATTACCAAGTTAAAAACTGTTAAAGTTTTATCCCAATTAAGGTTACCCACCCATGGATCCTCAGTCTCCCATGGACACTAATAATTCGTCACCTGAGAACTGGTTTGCCGCATAGACCAGGCCGCGTCCGAGGGATTTTCGCCTCTGCTGTTTGGTACAGATTTGCTGCATGTCGCACTTGGGCGAAGCGAAACATAGTTTAGATTGAGTGCTGATTTGCGCCATGTCCAAGCAGAAATCAATGCAGTACCGTTATCCGTTTTACTTCCCGAGCGTAAGCAAAGGAAGTATTGTAATCGAGTCCGTCGGCCGACTCTCTACTTTTACGTTTTCTCGATCTTTCATGACTCCTAGAATACGAAGAAATGGGTCTCCCATTTCCGTCTGTCTGTCCGTCTGTCTGTCCGTCTGTCCGTCTGTCCGTCTGTCCGTCTGTCCGTCTGTCCGTCTGTCCGTCTGCCGTCCCGGATTTTTATTAGACAGATAATCTCCGAAAGTAGTGGACCGATTGTTGTGAAATTTTGTACTTATATTAGGAATATCATGTAGATGGTAAAACGCTAACCAAAATTTGTCTAATCATCCCCACCACTAAAGCGATGACGTCACTTCAAAATTGTACATAGTAAATGGGTCTTAAATTGTATAAAATAACATAATCCAAAAAATATGAACGGAGTGATATATCACAAGTACAGATTCATCATATTTTGTACATTTTAGATAGGATTTATTCGGCAAACTTTTGAGCTGACGTCATCAACTTTTTGGAGGGGACAACCAAATATATTTTGACTAAAGATTTATGATGCTCTTTATAGCCTTAAAACATCTGCAACATTTCAAAACATTCGGGTTAGCAGATTCAAAATTAAATTGCAAAATGTTGTTTTATAATTTTGATTTTGTTTCCAAAAATCTGAACGTTTCGGGTAAAAACTCAATTCGGAGTCGTAAACTACATGTGTAGGACTATGTTATTTTATACAATTTAAAACCCATTTACTATGTACAATTTTGAAATGACGTCATCGCATTAGTGGTGGGAATGATTAGACAAATTTTGGTTAGCGTTTTACCATCTACATGATATTCCTAATATAAGTACAAAATTTCACAAAAATCGGTCCAGTACTTTCGAAGATTATCTGTTAAATAAAAATCCGGGACGGCAGACAGACGGACAGACGGACAGACAGACGGAAATTGGAGACCTATTTCTTCGTCTTCTAGGGGTCACGAAAGATCGAGAAAACGTAAAAGTAGAGAGTCGGCCGACGGACTCGATTACAATACTTCCTTTGCTTACGCTCGGGAAGTAATAAATGAAAAATTGATGCGATATTAGAAATCGCGTGGTGAAGTAGTTAACCAAGTATAATGAACAATAAATGTTATGTTATTGATGTTTTGGTTCGATGTTTTCTAAATACATATTTTCAAAAGAAAGAAACTTATTTTTCTTTATTTTTATATAAAATATGCATTTGATAAAACTCATTGCAGTCATTGATTTTACCTAAAAATTGTAGAATCCAAATTTTGCATTGTGAATTTCCATTGTTAAATGGTGAGTTGTAAACGAAATACGGAGTACCAAATTTAAACGAGTTTTACAGAAAGGAATTATTTTTATAAAGGATAATAAAATGATATATTCTTTGCATTGGCGGAGTAAAGGCGGCTCGTTGACTCGCTGCAGTCCTACTAAAATATTCTAACTGATAAAGTACACACTCGGATAAAAATATTTAGGTTGTTGTCTCAACGCCACGTCCAAGACCATTACGTGTTACTTTATTAAACGAAGCAGATGTGCGCAGTGTCATTCGAAATTCAAAAGTTTTAAAAACCCAGGAATCATTCAGACACATATCTCTATCATTTGATCGTACTCCCAAACAATTATCTTATTATAAACAGCTTAAACAGGAATGGATGAGCGTGTTCGCAATGGAGAAATAAATCATAAAATTCGCTACCCAAATGGTATTCCTAAGTTAAACTAAATTGTACATCCAATTACATAACTAATATATCATGTCTAAATCAAAATGTTAGGGGTCTTAGAATGAAGACTAACGAAATTCATAGTAATATGTCCATTTGCAATTATGATTTTGTCGCTCTCACCGAAACTTGGTTATCGGCAGATATTTATAACGCAGAAATATTTCCAAATTTTACAGTTTACCATAGTGACCGAGCGTGCTGGGCGTACGTTCCAAATGAATTTTCCCTTATCAAAATTTTGTGATGATGTCATCAACATTTTTGCAAAGACATGTATATCACTTTGGATAGGTGCAGTGTAACACTAATGGTAACAGAATTGT